GCGTGTGGGGTGGCGATCCCCGGGAGGGGGAGGGGGGGGGGAGCGAGGGGGACGAAGTTTCAGAGAAGGAGGAGACGATCCCGTGGAGATACGGGCGGGGAGAGACACGATCCCAGACACGATCCCAGCGAAGCAGGAGAGCGAACCACAAACCACAAACCACAAACCACAAACCCTAGAGTCTCGACAAAGCAGGCCGGGAAGCAGGGCGGCGCAGGCCGCAGACACCGCAGACACAAACCCTAAACCCTAAACCCTAAACCCGAGAACAGGGGCGCAGCAGCAGCAGAGCCGGGGCAAGGCGCGCTCGCGTCAAGCAGCACCCAAACAGCGCAAACCCTAAACCCCAACCCAAACCCTAAACCCTAGACCCGACTTTTCGACGCAACTGCGCAAACTCAAAGAACGCTTCCAAACGCAAAACCCTAAACCCTAAACCCTAAACCGCGCCGCCGCTTCCAGCCACGGCCAGCCAGCCAGCAGCAGCGAATCTGCCAACCCCGAATGTACGCCACCTCTTGCATGCAGCCCCAAACCAACTCACCCCAAACCCTAAACCCTAAACCCTAAACCCTAACCGCCGCTCTATTCGCCCAAAACGCTATTTGCAAACCGCAGCGGCACATGCAAGTCTACGGCTAAGCGCTAAACCCTAAACCCTAAACCCTCACCCCGCCCCCGGCGACGCCAGCAGGCGCCACACACAATGCCCAAGCCCCAAACCCAAACCCTAAACCCTAAACCCTAAAACCCAAACCCTAAACCCTACAGTCCGCTTCGTAGGGCCAAAGTCGTCGGCAGTTCTCCCCAGCTCCTCTCTGCACGCCGTAAACCCTAAACCCTAAACCCTACCCAAACCCAAAACCCTAAACCCTAAACCCCGCCCTCTCTTTCCTTCCAGGGCAAACCACGGACAACGGATTACCGCCGCACCTTTCACACCCGTGGACAACAGCAGCAGCTGCAGCAGCAGCTGCTGCAGCAACTACGGGAGAAGCAGCAGCAGCAGCAGCAGCAGCAGCAGCAGCAGCAGCAGCAGCAGCAGCAGCAGCAGCAGGAGGAGCAGCAGGAGGAGCAGCAGCAGGAGGAGCAGCAGCAGGAGGAGCAGCAGCAGCAGAAGAAGAAACGCCGGCAGCAGCAGGGAGATAACCAGCAGCAGCAATCAATGCAAGCTTTCGCGTCCAGTGAGCTAACAAACCCTAAACCCTAAACCCAAAACCCTAAACCCTAGAGTGCGCATGGCGGCAGCGGTCGCTACCCTCCTGCGCCGCGGTGCATTCAGGGCTAGGGTTCAGGGCCTAGTGCGCAGGGTTTGGCGCCCACGAATTAGGGTTTAGGGTTTAGGGTTTAGGGTTTAGGGTTTAGGGTTTAGGGTTTGGGTTTGTTTTTAGGCATTAGGTCGCTGCTGTCTGCGGAAGGCCCCGCGGAAATTGAAAAGTTGAATGAAATAAAAAGCAAAAAGAAAGAAGCCGAGGAGAAGAAGGAGCTGCTGAGGAAGCAGCTGCTAGCAGTAGGGTTTAGGGTTTAGGGTTTAGGGTTTAGGGTTTAGGGTTTAGGGTTTAGGGTTTAGGGTTTGGGAGGGCCAGGGTTCGCACGGAGGTAGGCAGAGAGGCGGCGCTGGGGGCGCGGTGGCTCCGAGGGTTTCCTCGAGCGTGCGTCTCGCGCTTGCGAGGGTTTAGGGTTTAGGGTTTAGGGTTTAGGGTTTAGGGTTTAGGGTTTAGGGTTTGCGGGCAGGAGAAGAGGCGGCGTCGAAACGCTGTTCACAAAACCCCCAAAGAAATGGACAGCGAGAAAGAATTGCTTTTGAGGAAACTCGCCACCAAAGGGAGTGCGCAGCCCCCAAACCCTAAACCCTAAACCCTAAACCCTAAACCCTAGCTAGTACAGCGCCTCACACGAGTTGCAGGGGGACGGCAGAGCCAGTAGGCGGGCTTGGGTTTCAGATTAGGGTTTAGGGTTTGGCGAGGGTTGGGGAAGGAGGGTTTGGCGAGGGTTTGGGGATTAGGGTTTGGCGAGGGTTTAGGGTTTAAGGTTTGGCGAGGGTTTAGGGTTTAGGGTTTGGCGAGGGTTTAGGGTTTAGGGTTTGGCGAGGGTTTAGGGTTTGGGTGCGCGTGCAGTTGTCCGTTTCTTGAACGTTTTAATGAACGCCCGGAGAGAAGGCGCGAGTGGCAAAACCCTAAACCCTGAAAAGGAGACAAAAGGGAAAAAAAGGAGACACAAAGTGTTTCCCAAAAGGCGCGCAGCAAACTCCAAGAAACCCTAAACCCTAAACCCTAAACCCTAAACCCTAGCCCCCAATGTTTTTTTTTCGGCGGCCGCCGTTGCGGTGTACGTACACCGCGAAGCGCCACCCGACCAAACCCTAAACCCTAGCGAGCTGCTGCTGCTGCAGCAGCTGCTGCAGCAGCAGCTGCTGCAGCAGCAGTCCGCTAGGGTTTAGTTATTGTTGTCTGGACTTGAAAGCCCACAAACCCTAACTGCAGATCTTAGACACTCGACGTAACCCTAAACCCTAGCGACAAACCCTAGACCCTAAACCCTAGCTACAAACCCTAGACCCTAAACCCTAGGAAGAGGCCCTGGGCCGCAAGCCGCTGCATTGTTACTACAAACCCTAAACCCTAGCTAGTGTTGCTAACAAGGGTTGTAAACCCTTGCTTTTCTTTCTAAACACTAGAGTCTCGCTGTAAACCCTAAACCCTAAACCCTAGCGGCGGATCTAAACCCTCGTTTCAAACCCTAAACCCTGTTTGAAATGTTGAAGAGATGCAGCAGCAGAGCTTCGTCGAGTTAGCGAGCCAAAGGAGCCACAACTGCTGCTGCTGCTGCTGCAGCAGCAGCAGCAGCAGCAGCAGCAAGTGGCTGCAGGTGGCGCTGCGCCGCTGCTGCTGCTTCAGCAGCAAGTCTACCACTTTGCTGCTGCTGCTGCTGCTGGGGCCCCCCAGTCCGCAGGTGCTGCTGCAGCATCATTCCATTCTGCTGCTGCTGCAGTCCCCGGCCCAGTCCACTCGTTGGCCTTCGAGCCCCAGTCTGCTGCTGCTGCTGCTGCCCAGTTGTTTGCTTCCTGCGCACACACACACAACCTGCTGCTGCTGCTGCTGCTGCTGCTGCTGCTGCTGCTGCTGCTGCAGCAGCAGCAGCAGCAGCAGAACTCGCGCTGCAGCGGCGCGAAAACAGCCCCAAAACCGCCGCAACTCCGCGCACACCCCCCCACCCCCACCCCCAGCAGCAGCAGCAGCAGCAGCAGCAGCAGCAGCAGCAGCAGCAGCAGCAGACTTGGTGGGCGTGGGGGGGCTGGTCTCTGTCTTCGAGTTTGTCTCTCTTGTCCAACTCCTCAGGGTCTCTCCACAAAAACAAATCGACCATCACTTCCCACGGCTGCGAGCGACTCAACTCGCCGCGGAGACACAACACCTCCCGCGCCAACAGCCAGTACATCAACGCTATCGACTCCAAACCCTAAACCACAAATTAGGGTTTCGCAAAACAAACCCTAAACCGCGTGTTAGGGGTTGACGAACTGCCCACACTCAAAGCAACACACCCTAAACCACGAATTAGGGTTTCGCACACCAACGCACGCAAACAAACCACCAAAAAACCCCTAACTCTCCCCCAAACCCCCAAAACACCCTAAACCCCCAAACCCTCCCATAAACCCCCAAACCCTCCTATAAACCCCCAAACCACCAAAAAACCCCAAACCCTCCCATAAACCCCCAAACTCTCCCCTAAACCCCCAAACTCTCCCCTAAACCCCCAAACCCTCCCCTAAACCCCCAAACCCCCCAAAAACCCCAAATTTTCCCGTAAACCCCCAAACACTCCCCAACCCCCCCATTGG